TTGTGCGGCACCCTTGCGTGTCCGTCCGCAAAGGTCAACCTCCCCAAAGCCTCCCATGTCCCCTAGGACCCACAAAAGAGAGAACGGGTTAGAGAAAACGTCTCATTCGGGATCCACAAGCAAACATTTCCGAAAACACTTCATAGACAATGCAAATTACAAACAAACTGTACAAGCTCTGAACAGTTGCACAACAAAGGGTCAAAATGGTCCACTATAAATCGAAAATCTCTCACAAGTGTCCACATGACACAACCTTTATTTACAAGCCTAAAACGGCCACCAAACTCAACTAAAATGCGACTATTAAACCTTCGGTTGTCCCTCTACATGCTAAGCAAAGTATGAACATACCAAAAGACACGGACATACATAAACATTACATCAAACATCTTGTTTAGAAGTTTGTCCGTGACAATGCGGACCACCCCTTTTCAGATGGTTCATGGGTGCTTCATTGGTTATCAAGTAGTAACCCTCCTGAACTTGGTGGTAAGCCTGGTTCAATCCCTTTTTTCTTTTAATTTAGGGTTAAAGCAAACCACTCCAGTCTCCCTCCTCTCGATAACTCTAGTGCTCGGCCGGTCGCCATCCAATTGCCTGTTGTCGTAAGCTCACCATGTACGACTCCTCCTCCTCTTCCTCCTACACCACCTACTGTCACAAGCCAACAGCTTCCTCCAAACCCAACATCACCCCCCCCCTCTTTTTTCTCTTTTCCTTTTAATACATGGTACATCGATACACCAATTCATATTGAACCCATATCAGTCCCTTACCCAAGGTTTTAAACCATGTGTAACATAATATTGGGCATTGTTTTATACAAACGGTCAAATGAAGTAAGCCCTTCACCATGTCCAAATGCTCAAAACATGAACTTGTTAGATTGTTGCATAAAGAAACTCATGTTAGTTTAAGGGTATCCTAGTTGATGCACATAAAACGAAGCTTCAAACATCGTAGGTCTTGCCCCAATGGAATTGATTTTGACCTTCAAGAAATACGTGCCCCGATGACTGATTTAAGTTTACATAATTGTGACCTTAGTTCTCCTAATCAAGGATTGTCATGCCAACAAGCACATATCGAAATTTGTCATGCTAGAAATGCATCAGCAAACACCATGCCAACTTTTTATTGAATGAGATGACAAATAATTGGATCAATTTTACAGGTCACTAGCATAGTATGAAAGATATCAACATGCTCTCATGTCATAAAACAATAATCCTTACTCCTAATCAAGGTTCTGAATACCGTACCGTACTACCAATCAAGGTGTATCGATCAGCTGTCGATACGGTATGTACCGAGATATATCGAGCATACCGAGCATATCGACACATGATACACTAAAGTGTATCAATGTACTACCCATATCGGTCCTTTATCGGACCGGTACATACCGCCCATACCGAGTGGTACAGTACGGTATTACAAACCATGCTACCAATAGAATTTCAACTCAACTCTAGATGCACATGCATATATAATAAATGAATAGGAATCTACTTTTCTGACATAAGTCAATAATAAAATTATCATAATTTACTATCTTCTAAATATATGCCTAACTGATTTAATCATCATTATATCATCTTATACCTATGTGTTTAAATGAAGCAATTTGATATCAATTTGGAGACGGTATCTATAGTCAATCTCAATATACTCAAATAAAGCACAATGGTATCAATTAGAAAAGGTATCTGTGCAGAAATATATACATACCAATGCAGGTAGTTAATTGAGTAAAAACAATGATCCTCAACATGCCAACAAAAGGATGAAAAAAGCATTCCCACATAGAGCCAAGGAACCATGACACCAGCAATATTCTCACGGACTGCACGAAGCATTGACCCCGGCAACTTTGGCAGGTTATTGAGGTTCCATGGACTTGAAGCATATTGTCTCCAGACATTTGGATCTATCGATGATGGAATTGGATCATTTGCACGAGGGAATCCACTTCCATACAATGATGTATCCAAATCGCTTCCATACATGACCTCCACTTCTCCTGATCTGCCTTCCACAATCTCCCAAAACCGCTTTTCTATCTGCACACGACTGGCATTTGTCTGCCCAAACCACTTCCTCCTCATCCGATCATCCATTCGCTTAAATGCATTCACCGAGTACAGCTTCCCAGGCTCAAAACCAAAGCAATCCGTATCAGAATTCACGCACTCCAAGCAATACCAGTTCCCTGATGGAATTTTCTCCAGAGGCGGGGACAAGCAGTACAAGTGACAGCCTTTATCGCATCGATCACAAAGGAGCATGACTTCCCCATGCAACCCGCTCTTGCACTGCTCGCAGATCTGATCCAACACCTCTTCAACCACCTCCTTTGCTCTCTCGCAGCCTAAACCCTTCCTTCTCCTCTTCCGATTGGGGATCTCGATCTGGGTAGAGGTATTCCGTTCTGGGCACCGCCTGGTGCTCTTGCCCTTCTTGGTTCCCCGGTCCAATCGGCTGTTGTACTCCTCGTAGTCGTACAGATGCTCGCGGTAGAGCTGGCAGAGGACGTGTTTGGCGCACTCGGAGATCTTGATGGCCGGTCGGACGAAGCGGGCAACGTCGGCCCAGCGCTTCTCCGCACAAACCATGTCGTAGCCGCCGTAGCGCTTGACGGCGTTAAAGAGGCGGCAGAGATCAAGGTCATCGCCCTCGAAGACGACCCGCCGCGGGAGGGATCGCTTGCCCAGGTGGGATTCGAGGAAGCGGCCGTACTCGAGGCGGAAGGTGGCGGGGTCGCAGGAGGGCGGTCGGGCCTGGAGGCGGTGGATGGCCTGGGACTTGGTGGGGAAGGTGAACGCGGCGCGGTCGAGGGCGAAGGGGGGGTTCCAGGACCGGGGAGGGACTATTCGGCAAATGCCAAAGGGCTCGGCCAGAGGGCGAATCTTGAAGATGAAAGCCAACGGGTCCGCGAATTCCTCCTCGGTGGGGTAGAAGACGGGTGCCTGAGGGACGACGGTGGCGGAGGAGGATGAGGAGGCGGCGCTGCCCAGGGCGTGGCCTAGGACGCCCTTCTCGACGGCGCGCGGTCGACCTTTGCCCATCAGGAGATCGCGTAGGGTTGCGAGGTCGGAGAGAGAGAGAGAGAGGGGTGTTATAATTGGTAAAGAAATAACGGTAAAAAGATGTTCCTGGTGGGAGAGAGAACACGACGCTGTCTATCCACGTTTTTGCGAATAAGTGAGTGGGACCACAACAGGAATCAACTCTTATTCCAATCCGCAGGAAGGTAAGATAAGAGGGTACGAAACAGCATCTACAAAATAGAGAGAGGGCACGTCATTCGTCGGATTTCGGATCTTTTATCAATCCTTGCATCATTAATATTAATTATATCATTTCAATATATATTCCTAAACGATTTCTTCTTGCTTTATCCTTCTTTTCAACTATATGGATCTCAAATGATGTTTGTACGAACCTTAACTTTTATTACGTTATCTAAAATGAATTGTCCTACAAATTGTAATCATTAGATCTTTGTCGATAAAAGAATTATACTAACGATTCTCACTTCGTTGACAAAACTAAAACCATACAGGACGATGGATTTGACATTGCTCAAATTGGATTGCCGTTTGCTTTTTGGAGTAGATAAATGTCAAATTTTGGGTGTAGCAATGGAAACCAACAAAGTTCCTAAAATTTAGTCTAATTATAGTCTGAATTCCAAGTGATAAGATCCATCCAAGGTTTAGTTCATTTTAAGGTAGTCCTGTGCAATTTTGTGATTTTTATTATTCTTCATGCTATTTTCCATTAATTTCATGTTTCTATTCGATGTTTATGCTTCTCTTTGATGTTTCTTTTTTTAAATATTCTCAGCTTGCTTTTATCTTATCAGAAATCTTCTATAAAAGAGAATTTTGCTCAAAAAAATACCCTTATGAAAGGAATTACCTTTCACATATTAATTATATATATATATTTATATATTCAAGCTTATGCTTCTCTTTGACATTTTTTTTAATTTCAGCTTGCTCTTATCTTTTACAAAATATCGAGAGACAAATTATTTTTTAATATATTCCTTCGAGCAACCTGAAGGGATAGAAATAGAAATTGCTATTACAAATAACATTTCACAAACTTAAAAAAAATGATATATATATATATATATATATATATATATATATATATATTTGTTAATATCTTTATGATTTTATATATTATATTTCCTTAATTCATCTTTTGTATTAATTTTACTTTTGTATTCTCAAGTTCATGCTTCTATTTTACACTAAAAAAAAAAACTCTCAGCTTGCTTTTACCGAATAAGAAATATTTTACGAGAGAGAGAGAGAGAGAGAGAGAGAGAGAGAGTTGTCATTTTTAAATATATTCATCCTTGTAAGTTTGAAATTAGTGTATTCGTCCCTTAGATCGTAAGATAACATGTAAGTTCGGTCTAATATTAAAATCATATATATATATATATAATCTTAATATTCGTCCAAATAATTACAGTAATAACTACTCTGAAAAAATAAATAAAACTTAAAATTTTGACCAGTATAATCGTTTTCAATGATACTCTTAAAGAGGTATCGATGACGATTGAAATCACCGCACCTGCGATTGACTACAGAGGCAAATAAATTTGTGTACATCTAGTGTTGATGATTGGCTGAAAGAGTCGTGTCCGATACGCCAACCTCTTAAAGTCCCAAGCCATCACAAAGAAGAGGTCAAGCTGAGTGCCCTCGCACCACACGCAAAGTCGCGCATGCAGCCAAATCCACATTTCGATCTACTCATCAGAATCCCTCCGTCGCACCTTCGCCTTCTCTGCCTCTTCCAAAACTCCTCTCCTCGCAGTACACGCAGACTTTGTAAGCAGCGGATTCGCTTTATACTTTGCATCGTATTGACTGGTAGACGATGTGGACTGGATATTTTATGGGGCACACTGAGGGAGTAAATTCTGAATCCTTCCCTTGGAAGAAGAGAAGGCAAAGGAAACGAATGCAATCTGTCGCTGAACAGCAACAATATGATCTATATCTTGCTCGGAATACAGAAACCGAAACACCTCCGGGAAAGAGGAGATTACTAATCCAAGCCATACTTCACACGATATACAGAGATGTGAAGAAGACGAGTATGATCAGCTGTCATCAGCTTCTCTTCTTTGCATGACTGCATTGACTCCTCGACCCAAACACCTGCTCCATCTCTTCAGCTCCGATCTCGATGAGCTCCGCTTCAGGCCACAGCCTCCTCTTGCACCGCCGCGCCGTACCTGGCTTCCTCGGCGCCGGCGGGCAGCTCAGCGTGGTGGACGGGAGCTTGCTCTCTTCGGCGGTCGGCGTGTGGCACTCTTCGTCGTCGTCCTTCGACGGCGGCGCCATCTTGATCGGCCTCAGCGAGAACTCGGGCGGCGTTGTGCGAGCGAGCTCCGGGGAGGCGGACATTTCAAGATGAGTGCAAGGCTTGGTAGAGAAGGTTGGGGAGGGGGATGTAGGAGAAGAGGAGTTGTTGGCATGACTGTGTTTGTTCTTATATGATTCTTTTTTCCTTGTCAGCTCTCCAACTCTTGACCTACTCTCTCTTCCATATATGCTTTCTTCAACAATCATCTCCTGTTGTTTTCTTGGAATCTGCCTTGTTTTCTCTTTGTTAAAATTACAAATCTGATCATATCTCATCTTTACGCTTTTAAATAAATAAAATAATAAATTTTAAGATTATTTCGTATAGAAAATTATATATATATATATATATATATATTTTTAAATTTATTCATTGATATGAGATTATGACACATGCATATATGATGACTACCGTTACCATACTCTCATCCGTTGATCAACACATACATGAAATCTTCACTTGATCAACACCTCGGTTTTATTTGGACAATAAGACAGTCAAAATTATCGTGTGAAGTCATGTGACATAAATAAAAGTATATGTCAACACTACTCCTGCCTTCACCATATATATATATAATATTACATGTTGGATTTTAGTGCTAAAAATATAATTCAAATTATGCATCGACTATAGTTTTTAGTTGAAATTTAAGACTAGTTGATCCTATTATAATATCTTACTCTCACACTTTTGTGTATTATTCTCGTCTTTTTATTTTCATTTTTCATTTTCTTCTTGTGAAGTACGAACACTCGATGATAGGCCACATTATTTTCAGCAATGCTTTGCCTTGTTGTATGAAGCCCAACAAATGTCCATATTACAAGTGTAGCTCAACTATACCACTCACTAATTATGCGCAAAAATGACACATATTCATGTATGAATTACACAGCGATATAGTTAGCTCTTATTTTATGGTAAAAGTAACTCAATTCCTGTTTCTTATGTTTTGCCAAAAGAAAGTGTTTTATCTTTATTTTCTATTTGCAAATCAAATAAAAAAATTAGAATTCATTACAAGAAGAGAAGATTTACACTTGATCTACAAACCCAATACTCAATTACTTTTTTTTTTGTCCCTTTTTTCTATGGATCGTTCCAAATCGGTTTTTCTAAAAATATTATCATACTTTTTGTATATATTTTTAATAATATTAAAAAATTATAAATATAAGAACACATGAAAAATTAAAGGAAAAGATGTAAGTGATTGGAGTATTCTGGGTATTACCTTAAAATAAGAAGCGTTGCTAGAAAATTCTGAAGATGGGAGGTGACAGTTAGTTAAAAAGAAGATTTAGATTTTTTTCACAGTCAAATTATTTATATAAAACATATATTTTGCATTCTGTGCTGATCGATCAGTGAGTGTATTCAAAGTGAAAACTGTATGCTCACCAACTCCAGTTATTGGAGTATATGATGGGACTCTGTGCCTCGTATCTGTTTCCGGAAAAGATACAGTTTGCTCAGAAACATAAAGTGGTGGCGTGGAGAGCTCGCCGTTGCACGTCCCGCGCCGCGCTAACGATGGTTTTCTGGTTCTAATTTTACCCGATTTCTTTGATTGGAGCATAAGCGAGGACCCACATGGGGTTGCACTGTTGATTCCAGTAATGCTGCCGATGGTAAATTCCGGAGGGCCGGAAATAAAATGCCGCCCTGACAGACGGTATTCTCATCCTCCTCAAATGCCGTCGACGCCCACCGCCGCAGGTCCAAATCCGGTCTTCCCCACACAAGCCAACCTCGTCGCTTTCACAACGCCCACGCTCAAAATTCCCTTCTTTTGTCCTCCTCGAACCGATCCCACTTGCATCTTCTTGTGTTCCTGGCTAGAGAAGTAGGCGGATCAGTCGGTTCTCTTATTTTAGGTAAATTTCTGTTCAGAGCAAGGATGGCTTTTTCGGTTTCTGGTCTATCGGATTCTGTCAGTCGGTTCCTCTTTTTCCTCAAATTCATAGCTTTGTCAAACTTTTTGAATTTTGAACCCTCGTATGCCCTCAAAGCAACGTTCTTTTCTGGTTGATTTGAGGTTTTCTTGCTTAATCTTGCCTTGTGCGCTCGGAAAAGTTCTCTTCCATTCCGTGCAATGTGATGGCTGGGGACCGAAGCTGAGTGGAACCTTACACAAAAGAATGGATTTTTCAACGGTTCAGGCGACGCAAAGAAAATTCTTAATGTCAGCAACAGTGAAGATAAGATTTCCCCAGGAAATCTTATCTATTCTGTTGAGGAAAATCCTCTATTCTGTTGAGGAAAATCCTCCCTCTTAATCCTATAAATAGGATAGGAACATGTTAATGTATTCAAGCTAAAGCTATTTCATTTCTACAATAAAGCTTCTTATATTATATTGTTCTTATCTTCTATTATCTCTATCATGGTATCAGAGCCGCTTGCCTAGAGCAAGCTCTCTTCTCGTTGCCAATTCATCATTGGTGTTGCCATTCTGCGCCAACGTCCGTTCCCTTCCGCTACGGCATCTCTAGTGCTGCTCATCAGCACTGCCCCACCTTTCTTCGTCGTTGTAGCTATTTTCCTTCCTCTTTTGCTACAGTTTCCCCTTCTACTACAGCTTCCTCCTCTGTTGCAGTTTCCTCCTTTGCTATAGTAGCATCACTGCAACATTGCTGTAGATTTCTTCTCTACCGTCGCAGCCGTCGTAATCGCAACCACGACCAACGTCGTTGAGAAAAGCGAAGCTTCGCTCTTGCCTTCGGCAAGCGACCAACGTCGCTGAGAAAAGTGAAGCTTCACCCTTCGGCCAGCGACCAACGCCGTTGCATTCCTAAGAGGCTCCGTGGTCAATCCTCATCTTCCTCACCGCGGTAGTCTTCGCTGATCTGTCAACATTTGGCAGACTTAAGGAGAATGAAGGGAACGCCTGTGCCATCACAGCAACAGCAATCGCAGCAACAGCAGCAGCGATCTACACTTATCTTACTCACGAAGCCTCTTTCTTACCGATCCAAGATTGGTATCCTTGTTAGGAGCACCATCTTGCGGGGGCATGATAGAAGATAAGATTTCCCCACTATATGAGGAAATCTTATCTATTCTGTTGAGGAAAATCCTCTATTCTGTTGAGGAAAATCCTCCCTCTTAATCCTATAAATAGGATAGGAACATGTTAATGTATTCAAGCTAAAGCTATTTCATTTCTACAATGAAGCTTCTTATATTATATTGTTCTTATCTTCTATTATTTCTATCAATTGGGACAGCAATCTTAGTAACCTTTGTATCGGCTTCTCGAGCTCTGGATCACGGCAAAGAAATGCGGAAAAACCTGAATTTCTCAGAGGCATCGATAACTTTGGACCGGTCCCAAGCTGTCATGATTCCCCTTGCTAGTTCTTGTAGTCTTCTATTGATATTCTATCTTTTCTCATCTGTGTCCCAACTTATCACTGCCTTTGTGGCTGTCGGCACAACCTCCGCATTCTACTTCTGCCTTATCCCGTATGTTGCTTACGTCAAATCGCGGTTTGGTGTGGTTGATCCATTCATCTTGCGGTGCTGTTCCAAGTCTTTGACATGAAGCCAGGGAATGTTCGTGCTGTTTTCTATAGGAATTGTGGCAGCTTGGCTTATCACTGGGCATTGGTTGCTGAGCAATCTACTGGGGATATGCATATGTGTTGCATTTGTTAGCCACGGACGACTACCCAACATTAAGATATGTTCTTTGCTTCTTGTCTGCTTGTTTCTGTATGACATATTCTGGGTCTTCCTCTCGGAGAGGTTCCTTGGAGCAAATGTTATGGTTTCTGTTGCAACACAAAAGGCATCTAACCCAGTTCACAAGGTGGCAACAAGCTTAAGCCTTCCAGGATTGCAGTTGATTACAAAGATGTTGGAGCTGCCTGTTAAAGTTGTTTTCCCAAGAAATTTGTTTCCTGGGTTGGTTCCTGGAAGCAGCAGCACAGATTACATAATGCTGGTCCTTGGAGACATGGTATGATGTATTTCAGTTGTAAATTTGGTTTGGTTTGATATTATGTGTTCGTTAAATTATAATCAGTTTGCAATTTGAGTCCATTAGCTATCTAATTGTTTTGTTTATAAAACGTAGCAGCATTTACATATTTGTATTTAGTATCCAGTAATGTCAGTTTGAATGGTCTCTGATCTTTGCATATATGCAAAGATACTAATGATACAACATACATTAGACATAAGTAAATTATGTTGAGAATTGATTCATAGTAGTTATCTAGGTAGTTACTATGTTCTAAGTAGTTATAAGGTAGTTCCTACATCTAACTCAATCATGGGTGACATGGTGGAGTGAGATAGTTACCACTAGGTTCTATAAATAGGACCATAGTTCATGAAGCAAGATAAGGAGTGTGCACTTGGGAATATCTTGTAAGTGTTCTTGTCTTACCTCTTATTTAAATACTACAATGGTTTTCTTGATCGAAAGGACTCTTTTTAATTGCATCGTAGTATTATGTTTTTATCGTTTCCTTGCTCCTCCATTGCCAACATTTGTGGTATCAGAGCCATAATAATGAAGTATTGTGGAACAGATGAACAAGTTACGGATATCCTCACCAAGTCGCTTCTAGTACAAAAGCATGTTTATTTCATGTCGCAAATCAGTGTATGTAACTATGAATCAATTAGGAGTATTGAGAATTGATTCATAGTAGTTATCTAGGTAGTTACCATGTTATAGGTAGTTATAGGCATGTTCTAGTAGTGACCCATGACCTAGAAGTTATAGGGTAGTTCCTACACCTAACTCAATCATTGGTGACATAGTGGAGTGAGGTAGTTACCACTAGGTCCTATAAATATGACCATAGTTCATGAAGCAAGATAAGGAGTGTGCACTTGGGTATATCATGTAAGTGTTCTTGTCTTACCTCTTATTTAAATACTACAATGGTTTTCTTGATCGAAATGATTCTTTTTAATTGCATCATAGTATTCTATTTTTATTGTTAATAGTGCATGAACCATTATCAAATATAACTGAATATCCTTCATCTATCAATTGACCAACACTCAATAAGTTATGCGATAAACTAGGAACAAAGAAAACATTATCGAGGTATTTTACCTTCATATCAATTGTTCATTTCCCTTCCACTTGGATTTACTTGTTATCTCCAATTCTAACTTTTAACTTATGAGTTTCATCTATATCTCTAAACCCTGATTTTATGCTTGATATATGATTAGAACATCCACTATCCAGAAACCAAATATCATTTGAGATATCATTAACTTGTGAATGAGTCATAAACAACTTATCATTTTCTTCATTTTCCTCCACATAGCTTGCTTGATTTTCTCTTTTTTAGCAATCTGTCTTCATGTGACCAAACTTTTTATAATAGTGACATTGAATTCTACTCTTATAATTTTTTTTATCATAATTTGATTGCCTTTGTTCATCATGCCCATCTAAGTGTCATCTTCCTCTTCCTCTTCCATTTCCTCTACCACGAAATCCTCCTCTGCCACGTTATCTTCTTGTTGAATTTTTGTCTTCTTTTGAAGTAGATGACTCTCCCTTAACCTAAAATGCTTTTTCTTCACTTTTTTTCAAGTGACCTGTTCAACCTTGCTTCATGTTCTTGCAAGGAACCCATTAGTTTATCAAATGAAAATATAGATAAATCTTTTGACTCCTCAATTGCGGCAATAACATGATCAAATTTCAGAGTTAAACTTCTTAAAACTTTTGCAACAATTATATGATCAGGAAGATGTTCACCATAAAATTTCATTTGACTAACAATTTCAGTCAATCGAGAAAAAAAATCTTGTATCGATCATTGCTTTTCATGAAAAAAATTTTAAACTCATGACGAAGGGTTTGGAGTTTTACCGTAATTACCCTTGATGAGCCTTGAAATTCATTTTGAAGTATCAACCAAGCTTGCTTTGAGGTTGTCGCTGTTGCAATTCTTAAGAAGATTGTCTCATGTACAGCTTGTTGAATGAAGAACAATGCTTTTGAGTCCTTCTTTCTATTCTTCCTCAGCCTGATTTCTTCATCTGGATCCGCATATCCATTCTGTATTAAGTCCCAAAGATCTTGAGACTTGAATAGAATCTTCATCTTAATACTCCAAAATTCATAGCATTTGTCCGAGAAGATGAAAATTGGGGTTGAGACATGGAATTGCCATTGAAAGTCATAATGCCCAGTTCAAATTGAAACTTAGCTCTGATACGAATTGTTGAACAAAGAACAATGCTTTTGAGTCATTCTTTCTATTCTTTCTCAGCTTGATTTCTTTATCTAGAATCGTATATCCATTCTCTATTAAGTCTCAGAGATCCTGAGACTTGAATAAAGTTTTCATCTTGACACTCCAAAATTCATAGCATTTGCCCGAGAAGATAGGAATAAGGAGTTGAGACATGGAATTGCCATTAAAAGTCATAATGCCCAGTTCAGATGGAAACTTAGCTCTGATCCACAATCATGGGCATTCAAATTCAAATGGAAGGGAAATGAACAATTGAGGTGAAGACAAATCAAGGGAAGGTAAAATTCCTCGATAATGTTTTCTTTGTTTCTAGTTTATCACATAACTTGTTGATTGTTGGACAACTGATAGATGATGGATATTCAGTTATATTTGATGATGATTCATACACTATTAAAGATAAAAAATCTGGTTTGATTACGGTAAAAGTTTGCATGATGCAAAACAAGATGTTACTACTTGATATTTCAAATATTGAAAAGCATACTCTTGTCGCAACTCAAAAGAATGAGTCTAATTTATGGCATTTAAGATATTGACACCTTAACATTAAGGGTTTAAGGTTGTTAAATAAAAAAGGAATGATTTTCGGATTATCCAAAATTAATACACTTGATGTATGTGAAGAATGCATTTATGGCAAATAAAGTAAAAAATTATTTTATGTTAGAAAAGCATGAAGAGCATCTAATTGTCTTGAATTAATTCATGTTGACTTATGTGGACCTATAAATACAAAATCATTTTGTGGAAATCAATATTTTCTATTGTTTACTGATGATTATAGCCGCTTAAGTTGGGTATATTTTCTGAAACTGAAATCTGAAATATTTGATAATTTTCAAAAATTTAAGGCACTTGTAGAAAGGCAAAGTAGCGGATACATAAAGACACTTCGGACAGATAGAGATGGTGAATTTTTATCTAATGAGTTAATTTTTTTGTGAATAAAATGGTATTTATAGATAATTGACAGTACCATATACACCGGAGCAAAATGGTGTAGCTGAACGTAAGAATCGAACTGTTATTGAAATGGCAAGAAGTTTGCTTAAAGGAAAATACATTCCAAATCAGTTTTGGGCAAAAGCAGTTGCAACAGTAGTTTATTTGTTAAATATTTTACCAACAAAGGCTGTTATGAATCAAACTCTTTTTGAGGCTTGATATGATATGAAACCAAGTGTAAAACATCTAAGAATTTTTTATTGTATTGCTTATGCTTTGGTAAATTCATAAAACCATCACAAGCTTGATGAAAAATCTGAAAAATACATTTTAATTGGTTATTCCTTACAATCCAAAGTATATCGATAGTATAATCCTATTAGTGACAAAGTTATTATTAACAGAAATGTTGTGTTTGATGAAAGGGCTAGTTGGAATTGGGAGACCAATGAAGGTGGAACACAAATTCAGATTCCAACAGAACTAGACACTCTATAAAATCAAGTGACAGATCCTGCTCCAACAAGTTCATTGTCAATCTCACATAGTAGCAGTTCAAGTTCTGATTCCTTAGATGAAACCACTCCAAGAAAATTCAGATCACTAATAGAAATTTATGACTAAACATTTGCTTTATTTATTTCAGATCCTATAACTTTTGAGGAAACAGTTGAAAAAGAGGAATGACGAAAAACAATGAATGAGAAAATCAAATCAATTGAGAAGAATGAAACTTGAGAGCTAATAGATCTACCAAAAGAAAAAAAGATTATTGGATTAAAATGGGTGTTCAAAACAAAGTTTAATGCAGATGGAAGTATCCAAAAGCATAAGGCTCGGCTTTAACAAATGAATATTCACAATAACAAAGCCACAATAGCTATGACGAAGAATCCAACATTTCATGGAAGAACGAAGCATATAGAGATACGTTATCATTTCATCCAGGATCTTGTAGCAAATAGAGCCATAGCAATGAAGTATTGTGGAACAAATGAATAAATTGTCGATATCCTCACCAAGTTGCTTCCAGTTCAAAAGCATGTTTATTTCATATCGTAAGTTAGTGTATGTAACTATGAATCAAGGGGGAGAAAGAAAGCATTATCAAGGTATTTTACCTTCCCTTGATTTGTCTTCACCTCAATTGTTCCTTTCCTTTCCACTTGGATTTACTTATTATCTCCAAGTCTAACTTTCAACTTATGAGTTTCATCAATATCTCTAAACATTGATTTTATGTTTGACATATGATTAGAACATCCACTATCCAGAAACCAAATATCATTTGAGATATCATTAACTTGTGAATGAGTCATAAACAACTTACTATTTTCTTCATTTTCCTCCATTTAGCTTGCTTGTTTTTTTCTTTTCCAGCAATCTGTCTTCATGTGATCAAACTTTTTACAATAGTGACATTGAATTCTACTCTTATAATTTTTTTGATCATAATTTGATTGTCTTTGTTCATTATGCCCATCAAAGTGTCATCTTCCTCTTCCTCTTCCATTTTCTCTACCACAAAATCCTCCTCTGTCACATCCTCTTTCTGATGATTTTTTTTATCTTTTTTTGAAGTAGAAGACTCCCCATTAACTTGAAATGCTTTTTCTTCACTTTTTTCAAGTGACCTGTTCAACCTTGCTTCATGTGCTTGCAAGGAACCTATTAGTTTATCAAATGAAAATATAGATAAATATTTTGACTCCTCAATTATGGCAACAACATGATTAAATTTCGAAGTTAAATTTCTCAAAACTTTTGCAACAATTATATGATCAGGAAGATGTTCACCATGAGATTTCATTTGACTAACAATTTCAGTCACTCGAGAAAGAAAATCTTGCACCGATTCATTGCTTTTCATGAAAAAAATTTCAAACTCACGACTAAGGGTTTGAAGTTTTACCGTAATCACCCTTGATGAGCCTTGAAATTCATTTTGAAGTATCAACCATGCTTGCTTTGAAGTTGTCGCTGCTGCAATTCTTGAGAAGATTGTCTTATGTATAGTTTGTTGAATAAAGAACAATGCTTTTGAGTTCTTCTTTCTATTCTCCCTCAGCCTGATTTCTTCATCTGAATCCGCATATCCATTCT